TATGAGTCTTAACAGCACTTTTTATGACATGTTGGGTCCCAGTTTTTTTTTTTTGTACGACATATGATACTAAATGAAGGAAAGGTTTTACATCCAAATATTTTCTTTATACCCAACTGTTTGGAAACACAGCAAACATACAAACACAAGTGGGCTATAGATGAAACATGGCCCCTGGATATTTTCAGTTGGCCTCCACACATTGAGTCAATGTTTAAAATTTAGGAGACTCGTGCAGAAATCTACATTTCAGACTTCAACTAAAGAAACACATCTAGTCCACTGTGAGGCCAGGCTCCCGTGTGGTCTGCTGTGCAGAGGTGGCCCCTAGTCAGTGGGGTGTGTGTTCCCCAATTTGCTGTCCTCACCTGGGAACTTCACTGAACATGGGTCCCCTACTTTGCCTCTGTAAGCATTTGACTTGAGAATTCCTGTTTTATAGTATATTTTGATAATGATTTTGAAATTTTAAAGGCAGTCTATGTTAAATTTATAATCTATTTCATATTGTATAATAATCTCACGCATGGGATTGAATTTTTCAAATTAGAACTTATAAGTTGATTTTTAAAACAAACTTTTTCTTTTCATGAATATGCAAATAATCATTCCCATCGGAATGTCTGTAAACCTGATGGGGTTGGTCATGGTCATAGCTGACAGGTTATGCTCACTGCAGATGGTGTGATGACTTTCTCCTCCTCGTGGCCCCTTAGAGCTGCACTTGACTCAGTAGCTACATGGCTCCCTGCGGAGCAGTGCTGAGAGCACTGAGCATAGTCACAGAGCAGTAAGGGGGTGACAGAAGGCCTGGCAGAAGCAAAGGTTCTTGGAACCAGTAAGTGCTTGAAGTGAATTTTATAGAATGACTTCACAGGGAACTTTCTGAAGAGCTCAAGGAGGAGTGTTTTAAAGAGTAGGAGCCCAGTAGGGTGAGGAGGAAGTGACTACTTTGTATTTACTTTACATGACATGTTTATGTTCAGAGACTTACAGGTTTTTACATTCAGTTTTGAAATATGTAATTTTGTACATTATACACTGTTCTTACTGTTTTACAGGATGACCTGACACCACTTTTATTTGCCATAAGGAAAACAGGCAGCAAATGGCAGAATTTTTAAAGGAAAAACAGGCAAATATACATACAGTTGAGAAGATGAAAAGGTACAGTATTTTGTTACCTTTAAAAAAAAAAACCTTTGCTGTTGTTCCCGGGTAGTATCAGTTAGAAAATTTAAATTAATAAAACGATTAACTTAGAATCCACACAGCATCGGTTAGGGAGAAAAGCAATTCCGACTGGGTGTCACAAAGAAGAGAATAGAGCAGGATTCATCTTCCTTTATAATATTGACTGATGTCATTTGCAACCTGATTCTTTTGATCATATGGTCTTCTTATAGGTCAGGGAGATCACTTTCTTTTTATTAGTATGAATTCCAATATTAATTGACCTTATGATAGAACATTGACTATCTGAACTCTTTTATAATAATTTTTAAATTTCTACTGTGTATAGGATTTTTCTTAAAAGATGAAGATGAAACATAGAGGAATTTGATTTGTCTTTTAGATGACTGTTAGCTTGAAATGACTTTCTTTGAAGAATACTGATATTTTCAGTTTATCACACACGAGTATTCATCACCAGTACCGGATCCTATGGGTTCATCCATTTTTATCCTTTTTCAATTCTTGTACATTTTGATGATTTTATTTTTGATTGATAATGGTAGAAAGAGGAAAGATAGCTTTAGTGATTGAATAAATATTTCCTTTAAAGCAGACAAGCCAGTGGTAGATGATAAAAGGAAAGAGTTGAGCTTTAGATCCAGACCAGGTTTAAGTCCTAGCTTTCCTGTTTGTCAGGTGTGTTCCCTGGGAAACATGACTTCTTATCGACAAATGGGTTTCCTGATACGTAAAGAAGGACAGGAGTACATACTTTATGGGGGTTGTGTGTAAGAAAGAAATACATACGGTATTTAATTCAGGGCCATGCACATGCTTCTCAGCATGATTCACTGCAACTGTGGCTATTTTCATTATTCACATTATTGTTTGAAGCCTGCAAACAGCTTTTGTTTTCCTGACCTCTGGCCGATTTTAAAGTATAATATTTCAGGCTCAGTAAGAAATGGGGAGATCTGTATTTAAACCTTTCCCTACTTGACATAAGTGACTTCAGCATCATTTCTTGTCCATCAGAGGACTTTAAATCTGCAACTTCATCTCTGTGTTACCCCAGGAGGACAGGGGGCTGCTTTTTTTGTGGCTTGCTTTTGGCCTTGAGGTAACTTGCCGAGATGAACACATGAGCATGTGTATGATCAGTCTTACAGAGATGGTCAAGATACAATATATCAAATTAGCTGTTGAAGTAAGTTAAGTAAGTTCCTCGGGGAGGGGGTGAGTTTTTTTCCCTGATTTTAGAACAGCCCTCATGCTTGCTGTAAGTGATGAATCACCAAATATGATCAGGCTTTTTCTTCAAGAAGGCATTGACGTCTTTTCTCAAGATACCTAGGCATGCAGTGTAGAAGGATATGCTCTTATTAGTGGTTTTAATATGTAAGTGTTTACACTAAAATGGCAATGATCACTAAACTGAGGTTGAAAATAAGTGTTACTTGTCACACGACAGGTGAGAGTTCTGAGTTGGGTTCAGGCAGTTGGGGGATGGCAGTGAGCTTTGCCCCATCATGAGCTGGAAATCATGCCGAAGGCCAGACTAGTGAGATGCAGCAGTGGCCCAGGATTCTTTATCTCAGAGTCTCTGAGCCCTTTGTCCTTCAGCATCCTCGTGTTCTGTATTTGATTCCAAGTGTATCCCTTATGCATGGGGTACAAACAATGTCATAACTGATTTTTTCTAAGCAGTTATTTGGGTCTTAAAGTGTTTAATTGAGCAGAAAATCCTGTCTTTTGCCTTGAGGACTTTCCTCTGTACTCTTCCAAGAAGTGAAGGGATTCCCTGAGGTCAAAGTGACACCCGTCTTCCACAGGTCACTGGGGTTGGGGTGGGGAGGAGGGCTTTCTAGCCATTCTGCTGTGCCCCTCGATTCTGTTGCTGCAGCGTCGGTATGAAAACTGGTCTTAACAGGGTCTCGTTGGCAGCTGGGTCTGCGCTGTGCATGTTCTTTCTAAAGACCTTCAATAACATCATTTTAAAAAAAGAAAAGAAAACAGAATGTGGCCCTGCAGTTGTCCTGTGTGACATCTCCTCCCTGGATGCCCCTGCTGACCCACACTCCTCAGCCTTCCTCATGACCCACACTCAGACCGCAGGGCGACAGCTTGTTTAGTTCTCATGAATTGCTTGTGTGACGTCCTGTACTTACAAATACAGCTGCACAACATGTAACAGCTGAGGTGCCCTGAATTATAAACCCTGGAAAAGGATGGCTCATCACCATAACTTGGAACATTTTTCTGAAAACTGCACCTTTGAATGTTGCATCTATGAAAAAACACACATTGGTTTTTATTCGGGATGCTAAACTAGTTCTGGCATTAAAGTTCAGGAAGGATTTATTCAATTTCATCACCGTTTCTCGGACCATTTTGGGGGTATATTATGTCATTAAATCCTCTGAATGCTATTGGGAATTGAGGCTGTAAGATCCCAGTTTTATAGAGGAACACTTTGAGCTGATGAGAAACAACTTTTCCAGGAGCAAATAGCTGTTGGTTACAGAGCTAGGACTTCTGAGTTCAAGATCCTTTCCATATGTCAGACTAAGTCTAGTTCACTTCGTGAGCTATCCTGCCCTCAATTCATGACTACTTAACCTGACTTTTTTTCTCCTTTAATTACATGCTAAAGGACAAGTTTATAGAACTTGCAAATTTGATGTATACAGGACCATTGAAGGTTTGATATTAGCTCTGCTATTGTCTGAAATAACGTAAGAATTTAGTATCTTTGGTCATTATTTTCATATTGGCATTCAAGAGTAATATTTCTCAATTACTTTTTTTTAAATATAGCGAACAGAAAGACGAAAGGAGACGTGAAACGCCTTTTCAAAATACCAGCCTGTCTAAGACTTCTGATTGTAAGTGACTCTCTGTGGTCCTGCCATAGATGAAGAAAGTGAGAGTGAGGAAGTGCTGATCATGACAGAGCAGTCAAAACAGCCAGTGTGGAAATTTCATGTATATCTTGATTTTTAAAATTAATTTCTCCCTTAATGCTTTAGTATTCCAAATTATTTAGGAAGTTAATTGTAGGTCATTTACACCCTGAGACAGTGTTGTCTGGAAAGAAATTCATGTATTTAAACACAGCCCCTGAAATCTCTTGTTCTGTCTTTGTAAAGAAGGAAAACAGATCTTTAAGTTTGTTGTACATTTCCTTCATCAACCACACTATAACACACTGGACTTCTCATAGAACTGGATCTATAATCTTCAAAACAAATGGGTTACAGTTAGGAAATGAAGGTTAGTTATTGCATAGTGACTCATCTCACTTAAAAATTTACTGTCTTTAAAAGTGGGAAGTCAGCAATCCCTTCCTGGTACTCTAACGCTATGGCAACCCATGAGTACTGCAAAGCTGAGTCAGTGCGCAGCACACCAGCAAGAGATTGTTGTTGAAAAGTACCCAGTGACAGTACAGAAGTCTGGAAAGCAATGCCTTGTGGAGAAGCACTGGTCATTTTTCCCATCCTTATACCAAGCAGGTCTCACTCTTACCAACTTCATTCCTCATAAGAGCAAACAGAATGAGATATGCTGACCTAATGAAAACCAGATGTTTTCTTCTCTTTCTCCTCCTTCTCCTCCTCCCTCTTCCTCTTCCTCTTCTTATTCTTGGATACTTGTCATGAAACTAATTTTCTTAGAGCAAGCTGCTCTGTTGCCATCAGTTAAAGGATTTTCATCATAAATATTCAAATAGCTCAACACAGGACTTAAGAAATTCCAGAAACAGCACAAAAATGCTTCCCATGAGCATGAGCACTGCTGTGCCGCCTAGATGAGAGCCCTGGCACTTGCACAGTCTGCGCTTTGTGAGGGCCCCTGTAACATAGCCGGCCCCTGGCAAGCAAAGAGCTTCTGCTGGTTGGCATTGCCATTTACGGGAGACACAGAGATGGAACTGATAGTTCTTGTCCTTAAGGTAATCGTAATACGACAGAATTGTCCCTGGTTGTTTTCTGTGTTTTTTAAAATAGAATTTTGAAAGGAAGCATTCTCACTTATCTGATAATTATCACTTTTTAAGTCATTTTTTTCCCACGTAAATGGCTGCCAAGTGTCTCGTAGGTGCTAAGCACAAACCTGAC